GGGATGCATCTATTTCCACATCTACACTCCATCAGCTGATTATTTCTATTTGCCTCACTTTATGAGCTTCACAACACTTGTGCCTTGTACTGCAGAGTTTGCAACGTCACAAATAAATGGGGCCAATCTTCAGTCAGATGTGAATGTGTAATCTAACATTTTCAGTAAGAATAATTGACGAAAGGAGTGCAAATACAAATACAATTTATTGAAATGTGAACCAAAAGTTAATCAAAAATGTTTTAAATAAAAAGCACATATGGACAGAAGGTGTAAACCTATTAAATGTATAAGTAAACACATTTAGTCAAATAACGTGACAGACTAGGCCTGTGCAGTTGGTATCAGCTTTGCCCAGCATGGGCTCCTCCATCAGGCCTGGACCTCCTCGCTGATGAAAGACCCTCAGTCCTCTCCAAACCAACAGACAGGACGTCCATCACACAGAGGTTTCTCCCTGAAGTCTCTGCAGCTCTATGGATACCACGCTGTCTCAATCCGTCCACACTGAATATGAGNACCTCCGTGTGATGGACGTCCTGTCTGTTTGTTTGGCCCGGAGAGGACTGAGGGTCTTTCCTCTGCAAGGAGGACCTGGTCTGATGGAGGAGCCCATGCTGGGCAAAGCTGATACCAACTGCACAGGCCTAGTCTGTCACTTTATTTGACCAAATGTGTTTACTTTAATAGTTTTAAACCTTCTGTCCATATGTGCGTTTTATTTAAAACATTTGATTAACTTTTGGTTCACATTTCAATAAATTGTATTTGTATTTGCACTCCTTTCGTCCATTATTCTTAATGAAAATGTTAGATTACACATTCACATCTGACTGAAGATTGGCCCCATTTATTTGTGACGTTGCAAACTCTGCGGTACAAGGCACAAGTGATTTGAAGCTCATAAAGCGAGGCAAATACAAATAATCAGCTGATGGAGTGTAGATGTGGAAATAGGTGCATTCGATCAGATGACTATGTTTTTCGCCACACTTTATAAGTCTATAACCACACCTTCTCTGAGGTGCAGCGTCACAAACAAATCATGGTCCTGATAGACTACAAAAATATGCGGTGTGCAGATCTTTGTTTTCACAATAAAAGTAGTTTCTTAGTGAATGTCCTGTACTGGTCTTAAAATCTCATAACATCAGCTTTTAATTTTCCTCTTGGATGTTCTTCTTTACGACGGAGTATTAGGGCCACACTTGGAAGAAAAAAAACAGAGAGATTTCGAGAATAAAGTCGTAATAATATGAAAATAAAGTCATAGTTACGAGAATAAAGTCGTAACATTACGAGAATAAAGTAATAATTACGAGAATAAAGTCGTAATGTTAAGAGAATAAAGTAATAATTACGAGATTAAAGTCAGTAGTTCATAAGTTACTTGAGAAGCGGACTTGGAGGAGATTGTCTCCTTTCTGCAGGAGGAAATGGCTGGTTCTGGCCGATTACATTACATTGCATTTAGCTGACGCTTTTATCCAAAGCGACTTACAATAAGTGCATTCGACCAGAAAGATAGCTACTTGAAGAAAGCAGAATCATATAAGTACATCAGGTTTCATAGAGCCAAACATTTAAAGTGCTACTCAACTGGCTTTAGATAAGCCAGTCCTTTATTAGTATATAAGTGCTTTGTTAGCACTTCTATGTTAGTAATTATATTGCTCGAAGTGGAGTCGAAAGAGATGAGCTTTCAGTCTGCGCCGGAAGGTGTGTAAGCTTTCTGCTTTCCTGATTTCAATGGGGAGCTCATTCCGATTCCACTACAAGTCTATCGTTCGACTCCTTCTGGATTCAAAGCCTTGATTACAAGTCTCATCGTTTCTTGTGAAACAACAAATCCCCTTTGAACAGCTCGTAGATGTAACCAACGATAGCCTTGTAGTCGGCCAGAACCAGCCATTTCCTCCTTCAGAAAGGAGACAATCTCCTCCAAGTCCGTTTGGTTCTTTCTTCTAAATAATAGACATAGTTTCTTGCACAACCTTTTCAAAGTTCTAATATTTATTAAATATTAGAACTTTGAAAAGGTTGTGCAAGAAACTATGTCTATTATTTAGAAGAAAGAACCAAACGGACTTGGAGGAGATTGTCTCCTTTCTGAAGGNTTCCAAGTGTGGCCCTAATACTCCGTCGTCAAGAAGAACATCCAAGAGGAAAATTAAAAGCTGATGTTATGAGATTTTAAGACCAGTACAGGACATTCACTAAGAAACTACTTTTATTGTGAAAACAAAGATCTGCACACCGCATATTTTTGTAGTCTATCAGGACCATCATTTGTTTGTGACGCTGCCTGCACCTCAGAGAAGGGGTGGTTGTAGTCAGGCTTATAAAGTGTTGCGAAAAACATAGTCAGCTGATGGGATGCATCTATTTCCACATCTACACTCCATCAGCTGATTATTTGTATTTGCCTCGCTTTATGAGCTTCAAATCACTTGTGCCTTGTACCGCAGAGTTTGCAACGTCACAAATAAATGGGGCCAATCTTCAGTCAGATGTGAATGTGTAATCTAACATTTTCATTAAGAATAATGGACGAAAGGAGTGCAAATACAAATACAATTTATTGAAATGTGAACCAAAAGTTAATCAAATGTTTTAAATAAAACGCACATATGGACAGAAGGTTTAAAACTATTAAAGTAAACACATTTGGTCAAATAAAGTGACAGACTAGGCCTGTGCAGTTGGTATCAGCTTTGCCCAGCATGGGCTCCTCCATCAGACCAGGTCCTCCTTGCAGAGGAAAGACCCTCAGTCCTCTCCGGGCCAAACAAACAGACAGGACGTCCAT